AGAACAAAGCAAATTAGGGTTGCCATATTTTGAAGAGCAAAAAAGAAGACACATTTGCTAACTTCTACTTTTAACTATGGATCTCTGTGACGACTCTCATTATGAAAACAAGGACTTCTCCTGGATACAGAGGACATATGACAACCCTATTGTAACTGATGGGAAACTTCCAACAACACTGTGAAGGAGCATAAACAACTAATATTTACCAACCTACTTGAATTTGCATCATCTGTATTGCTCTGGAAAATGTCCCACTGACTAAGCGGTATAATTCAAGAGGGATCGAAGCCCAGTTAGCCATTGTCATAAGAGACTCTAGGGCCCTGATTCTCAATTTTCAGGTGTTCTTTCTTATACCTGTAGATTGCCCTGGCAAAGTGGTTCTGAAGGAAAAGACAGGCTTAGAATGAGAGAGTGGGAGATAGGGAGAGCCAAGACAGACAGAGTCAAAGACAGATAGAGAGAGACAGAGGCACAGATAGATATTGTCAGGGGAAAGTCAAATTATGTCTCTCGTTGGCAATCAATACCATTTTTCTAATTAATAACAGGGAACATTTCAGCAGATGCTCTTAGGGGGAAAAGAGTGGGTTGTATTGAACCATCTTAGGTCCATTAATGTCAGCAGGTCTTCCCTGAGTAAAACTTAGCTAGATTCAACCCAGTGTTTCCCCAGCTCTTTCATCCCATCTCATGCTGCCTTGCTACAACTCACTAAATTGCCAGGGGTGGACTTTCCTTTACACTCCATGGGGGAACATTCTGGCTCCTGTGACTAGATAGATAGGAATGACTTTTATCACTTCGTATGTGATTTTTGTACTTTGCCTAGCAAGAGCAGGACCTTCCCAGCAAAGGACAAAAGAGAGGTGTGGCCATTGACACAGAGATGCTTAACAGGGGCAGCCGGAATTAAACTCAGCAAGGGGAGGACTAGTGTGTCTAGAGCAAGAGAGGATCAAATGCCATCCTTGTTCAACTTGTGTGCCATGAACTGCTGAGACTTGAAAAGAAGAACTTCCCCCAACAGGGTGAGGCAGATGTTCACACTGTGAGCTGCCATTCACAGGCACTGCTCTGTAGCTGATCAAGGTCTCACCTACCGATAGAGAGAAGGACCTTGTTCTTTTACCTAGGAGGCCACCCCAGCTTGGTAGAATTTATCAAGAGAAGCAGGGCAGCTAGGGCTGAAGTCCATGGCCCCACACATCAGCCCCCAGCCCCAAATATCCACGCAGCTGGCATATTTGCAGCAGACCTTGGCCACTGCTGAAGTGCAGCAGCAGTGAGGTCAGGGCTGCCCATGAAACAGTAGAGCATACCCTCCAACGTTTCTCTGATGAAAAATAGGAATCACAACAATAGCAATACAGTGGTACCTCGGGTTAAGAACTTAATTTGTTCTTAACCTGAAACTGTTCTTAACCTGAAGCACCACCTTAGCTAATGGGGCCTTCTGCTGCCGCCGGAGCACGATTTCTGTTCTCATCCTGAAGCAAAGTTCTTAACCCGAGGTACTATTTCTGGGTTAGCGGAGTCTGTAACCTGAAGCGTATGTAACCCGAAGCGTTTGTAACCCGAGGTACCACTGTAATAGTCATACCCCACCCATCTGACTGGGTTGCCCCATCCACTGCGGGCGGCTTCCAACACATGTGAAAACACAATAAAACATTGAACAGGGCTGCCTTCAGACGTCTTCTAAAGAATGTATAGTTACTTATCTCCTTGGCTTGGGGGGGGGTCGCATAACTCCATACCCTCTGATGAAAATAGGGACAACCCACCATACCCTCCAACATTTCTCTGATGAAATGGGACATCCTAAGAAAAAGGAGGACTACAACCCACATCATGTCTGACCCCCACTGGTCATGCTCATGGGGCTGGTGGGAGTTGGTGCCCAACAACATTTTGGAGGTGCACATGTATCCTGCCTTTGGCTTAAAGGCAGTCTTTGTTCTAAGCTACAGAAATGTCGCTAAGATGGAGCGTGTTAACTGACATGTTTTGGTGCCTGCTGTGTAATTATCCAATATATTTTGCATTTTATTCTAACGATAGATGATACATAGATAGATGATAGATAGATAGATAGATAGATAGATAGATAGATAGATAGATGATAGACAGGCAATATCACTGGGGAGGGAGAGAGAACACACAAAAGCCAGCCAAGCAACTAAACTCACTGTTCATCTTCCTGACAGTCCAAGCTGGAACGTAAATACTTTGGGTGAGTAATACTTTCTCAGAGCGACGGGGCTTGGCCATCACTCATTCATGAAAGCCACACAGGCTGCAGCTCTAGCTTTCCGCAAGATGTGGCGGAGGCAACTTGTGTGAAATGGAGAAATCTCATTTGGCAAATCTATTTTGGTGGGGGGGATGCAGCGGAAAAAAAGGTCGAAGGGGTTTCGCTCATGCCTGAATGGAGGAAAGAAGCTTAAAGGTTGTGTCTTAGTTCCATGCCAGGTGATACTCATGGATCTCCACAGAGGCAGTGGAGAGGCCAGCTAAAACCATGTGTTGGTCAGCTCAAGAGGCTTTGCCTGCAAAAGGGGTGCCAGGTTTAATCCCAGCATCTCCAGGAGGGGTTGGGGATGAAATTCTATTTTGTTTGCAATATAATCCTCAGTTGCCTGTTGAGACCTTTAAACCTCTCCCTTAAGTAAATTCAGACAAGACGCAAATCTTGGTTTGGTTTTTGGCAGAATTTAGGCCACAACTTTATTGATTACAGCAAGTGACTGGTTGCATAGGCTCTGGTTCGACTAGCTCCCTGCACCGTTGCAGATAGCGCTGACCCAGGGGACCAGCATAGGGTGAACACCTGGATAAGCGGAAAGCCAGGAGCAGGCTATCTCCACCACCCAAATGCCCCCCTGGACTCAGGCACAGGCACAACCCCCTCTCAGGGGTTGACCAAACCATCGAGTCCCTGGATTCCTCTAATGGAATACCCTTCACATAGGGATGGTGAGAGTGTTCTCCCATCCCTATCACCTGAACCAGAGCCTATCCGCAACCTTACAAGTTGTGACGATTTGCTACACAGCAGGTGAAACCCAAATGGCACCAGCCAATCAGCTAAGTGGGGAAAATTCCTGCTGTGCCCCTGTCCCAATGACAGACGACACACGACGGCATAGCAAGGTCAAGCGCAAAGCCCTAAATATAGGGAGAGGTGGGCGGGTGTTCCGATGCACGCACTGAAAGAGGAAGCTCTGGGTCACGTGCATGGGTATATATAGGTCCCTCGATCCGTTTAGACTGCACCCCATTGGCCAGATTGAACCCAACATCGAGGGACCTTTCAATCGGGTGTTGTGGCTGACCAATCTTACCCACCCACAACACAGGGTTAGGTTGCCAGGTCCAGCTACAACACGTGCCCTCTTTAAGGGAGGACCCGATTTCTCGTACTGATACCTGAAGTGAAACACAGCCATTCTTCGAAATGCTCACTTCTCCAAATAGTGTGATGCAGTCCTCCAACATAGGGGAAAGGGGCATAAAAATGATCAAGTATCATTAAAAACGCAATGTATCAGGGAAAATTGCCCCCCAAAAGACATTTATTACTCAAAACTGCATGCAAAAACTTGCTCGCTAGGAGAAATTTACACAAAACTCTTGATGAATTTCTGTGAGTATTTAAACGGCAAACTCCTGCAGAAATGTGGAGAACTGAATTTAAGATGGGAACGCTGAGAAACCAAAATTGTGTTCCTTTGAGGAGGGATTGATTGTTAAACCACTCTTGGGATTGCAACTCTGTCAGATGAACAGGGGACCTTCTAGCAACTCTCAGCGCCCTTAACAACCTACAGCTCCCAGAATCCTTTGAGAAGCCATGACTGTTTAAAGTGATATAATACCAGTGTGAATGTGGCCATAGTTGCTTTCAGATGGGCTCCATCACATCCCAAGGGAGCCAAAATGAGCTGTATGACTCTTCTGTCAGGCAGATTTTGCTATGGGCAGAATTCCGTAGAGCCATCTGTGTGAGATTTTTAAGGATCCCTTGTAGCAAACATCATGTGTTTTTAATGGCCTAAGGAGAGATCACTATCTCCACCTGAGAAAAGAAAGGAGAGAGGAAAGAAAGCCCTTTGTGTTCTGTTTTCCGGAGACATCAGTGGCTCACACATTCTGAGTAAACTTTCTACCCAATCCTCCTTGGCACAGGCTTCTCAGAAACAAAGGCTTGCAAGCCACAGCAGGTGCGCACATGAAAGGCCCCTCCTGAAGAGAACTAGAAAGGCTATCAGCTCAGCCTGCCCCTTTAATGTCTCTTCCTCTCTCCCAGTGCATGTTATGCTGTTGTTTGCCTTCATCTCTCTGTCCACCTGCCTCACACAATGCGCCTCACGGAGGCTTCTGGTCTTTTGGTTTGTCGAGGTGGAGAGAAATCGCTGAGACGCATAGAGCTCATCCAGTCTGGAGGTTACCCAGAGCATGGAGTACAGAGGCCGAGTCATTTCTGTCCAAAAGGGGGCAGAAAGCTGTGAAAGGTGCCTTGGGGGTCCAGATATAATAATAATAATAATAATAATAATAATAATAATAATAATAATAATAATTTATTATTTATACCCCACCCATCTGGCTGGGTTTCCCCAGCCACTCTGGGTGGCTTCCAACAAAACACTAAAATACAAGAACCTATTAAACATTAAAAGCTTCCCTAAACAGGGCTGCCTTCAGATGTCTGGGCTGGGTCATCATCTCTGGACTGGCCCCTTTCAGATTGGGGTCCTTCCAAAGGGCCAGGTCATCCAGTTCAATACTGGTGCAGGATCTGCAATGCAGGATACAGCTGCAGCGTCCCTGAGATATCAGTCTAGCCTCTTTAGACATCTCCAGGAAAGTAGAACCCACCACCTCCCAAGGCAGTTGGTTCTACTTTCATGCACCTTGTGACACTGGGATGTTCCATATAATGTTTACCTGAGCTCTGCTTCCTTGCAGTTTGCACCCATTGGCTCGGGAAGGGCCATAGCTCAGGGGTGTGGCATATGCTTTGCATGCAGAAGGTTCCAGGTTCAATCCCTAGCATCGCCAGGTAGGCCTGGGAGAGACCACCTGCCTGAAATTGTCAGTGAAGACAAATATGAGCTAGATAGATCAATGTTCTGACTCCCTATGTTCTAGTCTTGTCCTCCTATACAGCAAACAACAAGTGTACTCTGTCATTTGCGTGAGACCCCCTCCGAATATTTGAAGACAATAGTTTTCTCTTGTTTTGAAAACTATCAACAAACTCTAGACTCTGAATCATCCTTATTTGTGTGACCAGGCGCAACAGCCCCAGCCCCCAGGGAACGTGGGAAAGGAAATAAAGACTCTGACAACGTTATGAAATTAAAAGGCCACAACTTTATTAAACTTCCAAATGTAGGAAGACCTTGGCTTAGGCCTTGGGTCCCCCAGCTGGGGAACTGGGGCACATCAGGGTAAATGGGATATGGGGGTGCTCTGTGTGACGTACAGGCAGCCAAGCCCATATCCCCGCAAGCAGGGTAGTTCACAGTCAACCTTTCAGTGTATGGCCAGTGACACCCATTTATGTAACCCCTTTAAGAGGGGACCCTGGAATCGCCGCTGAAGAGGGGTGAGTCATCACTTCACCACCACCCCCATTATAGGGAAGAAAAGACTAAAGGATTCCACCCAAGGCCATAACCGCTAAAGTTGTGACGAATTGCTACGGGGAAGACAAAACCTGCCAATGCAGGAAAATTTGTTTCCAGTCCTTCAACAGCAACCAGTCCAAGACCATAGCAGCACCCGCTAAACAGGAAGAAAAAGCTAACCTGTAAACAAGAAACATTAACAAAGGGAGGGTAGGGAGGGTGAATCTCCAGAGCAATCTGCCTGGCTAATACTGGCTCCTCCCCCTATTTATAATGGGTCTGGCCCCACTTCCCAGGAAAAGAAACTTAAAGCTGAGGCTGGGTGTGAACCTCTGAATAATACACGGAGAAGCAGGCCAGCCCCCTTCTACTAGCAAGTTCCCTGGGAAGTGTAGCACCGCACACGATCCCGCAAAAGGTACCCACAATATAGTGTGAGTGCTCATCCTTCATAGCTGCAGGATCTCTCCGTTAAAGTTTGCTTCGGACATCTGCTGGCTCCCTCTTTTGCTGTGTCCAATTAGCATCTCTCCTGTGATGTACCGCTGAGCTTGGTGATATCGTTTTATGGATCAATGGCCATCCAGCTTAGAAGACCAGTATAGGCCAGTGGTCCCACATTGGTCTCAGAGAATAGGAAAAGGAAGAGAGTTAACAGAAAACCACCCCAATCTAGCAAGTGAGATCTGTAAGCAGAAGCAGACTTCTGGGAATGCAGTCTAGTGCAGATACACTTTGGATCCATGTTCATCCAGTCCCAACAAGGTGAATCTTTGGGTGCGGACAAGGATGTGCCCCCACTTTCTAGGGCCTTGGATGGAAACAACTTTGTATTCATCCCTCATTTTGCCACAGCTCTTGGCTACAAAAAATAAAATCACCTGCATCTGTTTTGAAAGTTGTGCTTTGAGTGAAAATACATTAAGGAGCACATCTTGAGACAAAGTAGTCTGAGGTACACATTTAAATGCAAATGACGGCCGGGATTATTTTGTAATTGCAGATTGGTGCTGAAATGGGATGGACTAGACATATGGGTGAACACATGTAAAAGGGATCAGTACTGGAAATTGACAAATTCACCCAGCAAATTAGGTTCCAGTGGTGTCCAAACTTTTTTCAAAGAGGGCCAGATTTGATGAAGTGAAGGGCTGTGAGGGCTGACCAAAGGGCCAACTAAAGTTGTTATCCTTTTTTTAGGATTGAAGTTGTTGAGGTTTTTTAAGGATTTTACCCCAACTGACTGGTGGGCTGGATTAAGCCCCTGAAACGGACTTTGGACATACCTGGTAGTCTACTCAAAACCCTTTTGGCTTCCCACAGAATCTCTCAGATGCATCTCTCACCTTGCGCCTTCCAGAGGCCCCATAGCAATGATTGGCAGGGCCAAAAAGTGGATACAGCCAAAGGTGGATGTGATGCACAAGCATGTGTGCACATGCTTCCATACCCTCCAACATTTCTCTGATGAAAATAGGGACATCCTATTCCATATCCTCCAACATTTCTCTGATGAAACTAGGGACGTCTTATTCCATACCCTCCAGTGAAAACAGGGACGTCCTATTATACCCTCCAACATTTCTCCTAAGGACGTCCTAAGGAAAAGCAGGACATTCCGGGAACAAATGAAAAACCAGGACAGCGTCTGAAAATCCTGGGCTGTCCATGGAAAACAGGGACACCTGGACGGTCTCTGCTTGCATTTGCACACCACAAACATAGCAGAGTACAACACATACTAGAACAAAAACGGAAACCCGAGAGAGCGTCACCCACCTCTCCCACTGCTGTTGTGTTATTGCGAACCTCCCCAATGCCCTGGAAAAAATGGGACATCCTGTTTTCTTCATGTGAGGTCATGGCAGCTATTTTGGGTGCCGTACTCTCACACTATGCTCTCCCCCCAAAAAAATAAACTGCTATGAAGGCCGGGGGGGAGCAAAGGCCAGGTGGTGAGTTGGTGGGGCAGTGGAGGGAGGGAGGCTGGTACCCACGGCAAAGGTTTTGTGGGTGCCCAGGCCCCCAGGCCCCCCGAGTTGGCACCAGTTTCCCATAGGCCACTGTGGGAGCAGGATTCTGGCTTTCTTGGGACTTTTGTGTTTTATGTTCCTCCTAAAACCATTTTACTTGTTTGCCTCAATGATTTTTAAGCCACCTTTGCAAGCCAAGTGCTTCCCACCTTACCAGGATGGCATACACACAATAAAAGCCTTCTAAAATAATGCCCATGCCTACAATGTTAAAACTAAGACTGGATGTCCAGCAAGGGCCAGGACAGATCCTGCCTGTAACCCTGGACAGCGACTGCTAGTCAGTGCAGACAATACAGTGGTACCTCAGGTTAAGTTCTTAATTCTTTCCGGAGGTCTGTACTTAACCTGAAACTGTTCTTAACCTGAAGCACCAGTTTAGCTAATGGGGCCTCCTGCTGCTGCTGCTGCGCCGCCAGAGCCCGATTTCTGTTCTCATCCTGAAGCAAAGTTCTTAACCTGAAGCACTATTTCTGGGTTAGCGTAGTCTGTAACCTGAAGCGTATGTAACCTGAAGCATATGTAACCTGAGGTACCACTGTATTAAGCTAGATGGAACAATGTTCTGACTACAAGGCGAGTTCCTATGTTCCGATGTGGAAAGAGAGATGTAAGATAAAAGAAAGAAAAGGCACTTCAAGCAAAAACACAAAAACAGAAATGCAACTGAGAATTATAAATTATCCAGCCCAAGTAGATAAATGCACAAGTGCTTTCCGCACCACTAAAAACTGGCCGTAAGTATATCCTGAATTTACTTATCTGTGTGTACATATATAAAGAGATATCTTATTGCTCCATTTCCATATCCTTATTCTTTCTGGGCAATAATGCTTTTGCTCCTTTTTACGGTCCCATTTAGGAGGCCTGTTTATTTACAACCGCAGCATAAACCTCAAATTCTATTTCTGCACAAGGACACACCATCTGCCAAGCGCAGGCTCTCCCCCTGCCAAGGCTGAGCACTTTATGCCTCAGTGAGCTGTATCACGAGAGCACCCACCCCATGCTACGTTCGGATTTTAAAAATTACTTTCCTCTCATCTAGAATGCAAGGAAATAAAATAACACGGCCCCTGTTTGTTCCAAAGGAAGTTTTGAAGACTTTGGATTCCTAAGGTGGCTGAGCATTTTATGGCGGCACAAGCTGGCAGAGGTTTTGTGGAGTGGGGGTGGGGAGGTGGAGGCGCATCCATTGCACATAATTCCCTCATGTTCCACATCCACTCAGAGTAAGGCAATGTCCTGCATCCCCAACTTTCTGTCCCTCAAGAAGTCCCACATCAAATGTAACATCAGAACATAAGAGCTCCACGCAAGTGGCGCTGTGGGTTAAACCACAGAGCCTAGGGCTTGCCAATCAGAAGGTCGGCGGTTCAAATCCCCGTGATAGGGTGAGCTCCCGTTGCTCGGTCCCTGCTCCTGCCAACCTAGCTGTTTGAAAGCACGTCAAAGTGCAAGTAGATAAATAGGTACCACTCTGGCGGGAAGGTAAACGGCGTTTCCGTGCACTGCTCTTGTTCGCCAGAAGCAGCTTAGTCATGCTGGCCACATGACCCGGAAGCTGTACGCCGGCTCCCTCGGCCAATAAAGCGAGATGAGCGCGCAACCCCAGACTCGGCCACAACTGGACCTAATGGACAGGGGTCCCTTTACCTTTATATCATAGCAAAATGAGGGAGGGGCAGTTTGTTCCCATTCCATTCTGTGGAAGGAAAACCAGTCACTGCCCTTGACCCATTCAATCCCATTTCTGAGATGAACAGCAATTTTTTAAAGCTCTACAACACAGGGGTAAAAAGCAGTTCCACTAGGGCAATGGATTTTAGCTGTGCAATGGGAATTCCTGCCTCTCCCCTCCCCTGGCATGCCTTAAATATTTTTGTAGGCGGCCCCAACCCTCCTGAGCAGATTTAGAGAGAAAACATGGGGTGAACAAGAAGAGAAGAGCTTGGGGAAGTTTCACTGCACAACTAGAACTCCTTGCATAGAGGAATGGTTTAGTTGGATACTGGAGTCCCCTGAGTCAGAGGCCAGAAGCTGCCTCCCATGGGAGCAAGTCCCATAATTAAATGTGATGCAGTTTTTCTGACAAAATGATGTGCATATTGAGCGTAAAAAATTGCATGTTACTGAAAATAGCATGTGAAACCTTCGATGCCTCCCTTTCCATGGAGGCGCAAGTTGCAGCTACAGCAAAGGTGGCATTTTTACATCTCCGCTGTATCTCTGCCTTTCTCGCCCTGATCTGGCCACAGTGATTCATGCAACAGTCACCTCCAGGCTTGATTATTGTAACTCGCTCTACACGGGGCTGCCCTTGAAGCTACCCAGAAACTCCAGCAGGTGCAGAATGCCGCGGCGAGGCTCCTTACGGGGTCCTTGCCGCGGGATC